GCGAGATTCTCCTCTTCTGCACAAGCATCTCAGAGCGCAAGTGCAAAGCACTGGGATTAGCCTGGTGTCTTCATGTAGTCCAAGATATCCAGCATCTCTCCTGCACTCATTATGAAAATTCTCACTTTTATTATTCTTTCTTAATGCACTTCACTCACTTTTCACTCCCAGGCTATGGATGATTAAAACTCATAGCCAGGCTGGGGTTACCCTACAATTACTGAAAACATCTTGTCACGGGATGCAAGCGCCATTGGCCAGCTATTCCCATTCATCACTGAGGTGCAAGGTACACACTGGTTAACCATATCTTAGTGTTACTAATAGTCTGCATGACGTTCAGGCTGTTGCCTAGACATCAGCACAAGCTTGCTTTCCTGGCAGCATGTTCCCTGGCAGTCCTCAAAGATCATGACCTGCACACTGCATATCACTGCAAAATACGTGGAAGATGAGGTACCCCTCTTTAACCCTGTGCTCCTGGCAGTATGAGGCCAGCAGAGACACACAGATGCCTCTCCAGGTGATGTTGTAGATGAGAGGGAGAAGGACAGCCAGAGAAGCTGGAATTGGATCAAAACCCAGTCTGGAAGCACTTAACTGGAACCATCCTGCTTTTCTGGTTCACCTCAGAAGGACAGGGGACAACCATCCCCAAAGGGCAGCACAGGCAGTAACCACATGAACATTTAGGAAGGGATTATCTAAGTCACTACAGAGGACAAGTGCTTGCCTCTGGTTCAATAATGCCACAGAAAAAACATACCTCAGTATCAGCATTGCTTACAGGAAGAGCAGAAGGAAGAGGCTTGGGGGACAGCTGTACCATAGCCTGCCTTTTACACACACCCATCACCCTCACCTCAAATAAAATTTGGCATCACTGAGGAAAGACTTCCCACATCAGGGATTTTATAGCTTAGCTGAGGTACACAACTCGCTTGTATAATATAAATGCAGTCCCCCTCCCAGCAGAACACGCCAGTTGCTCTCTGCCATAGCTTACATAGCTCCCCTCTTCCATCACAGCCAAACCCTTTCTCCACTCACACTACATATTTTAGTCTGGATGCCTGTTTTCCCATTTAAGGTCATTAGAGAGACAATATTCACATCTTTTTCCACTGTAACAGTTAAAGAGGAGTAACTTCTAATGCAGACAAAAATATGATAAGTACTTCACTGACCCTATGCAGCTGCACATTAGTGCTTTAGGTGATTTCCTAACCCAGTTGGAGGGCTGTGTAATCACTTGGTGACACAGAGTAGGTCCAAACTGTAGCACTCAGGCCAGGGGTTAAGAAATCACATGCTTGAACTAGATGTGGATTACTGGCATGGGCTGGGGGTGGCTGTTCTTCTTATGACTGCATAAACCACGATAAGAGACCATCTTTCCATGAGAGTTCACATGGTATCTGCTTTCATCAGTACCTGGTAGGCAGAGCAGTGCCTCTAAGCATCAGCAAGCCGGCTTTAACAGATGGGACCTGAAGATTTCTCCAAGAGGTCCCAAAGCACTTCAAAGTGTCTGGCACTCACCTGTCCACAGTAAGCCTTTGCAGTGCATATGAATATCTGTACTAAGTACTTAAACCCTGTGAAATAAAGAAAAGTCAGCAGTATGTCAGGAGAAAACACATTTCAGTCTAAACAGGACTAAAGTCCTTACCATATCAGTGATGCACTGGCAGAAACTCTCTATGCCTAGACGGAGAAAGGCTTGTTTGTTCCAGCATAGGAATCTTCTTTAAAGTCTAAAACCTACTTCTCTTAGGCCTAATTTTAGGCTAATTGCCATATTCTGTTCATCTTCTAGAATGACAGGAGATAGAATAGGGAATACACTCCACTAGGCTACACAAAAATGCCTGGGAGGTTACTGAATGTCCACCAGTCACATAAGCTGTTTTCTCTAAAAAAGCTATTATTACAGAATCACACAGAATCTTAGGAGTTGGAAGGAACCTCAAAAGATCATCCAGTCCAACCCCTGCCAGAGCAGGATCACCCAGATCAGGTCACACAGGAATGTGTTCAGGTGGGTTTTGAATGTCTGCAGAGAAGGAGACTCCACAACCTCTCTGGGCAGCCTGTTCAGTGCTCTGGCACCCTCACTGAGAAGAAGTTTTTCCTTACGTTCAGGTTGAACCTCCTATGCTCCAGCTTGCACCCATTTCCCCTTGTCCTATCACTGGACATCACAGAGAAGAGCCTGGCTCCTTCCCCCTGACACTTAACACACTTCAGATCAGATTAGCAGTAACTGAATCCTGCACACAATGCAAAAAGAAGATCAGCATTCGAGCAGTTCTGCATCCACACTTATCACATCCTACTTCAGGGACAGACTGAAGCAAGGTGGAAGACAATCCAGCATACAATAGAGATTTTCAGAGAGAAAACAAGCAAGTAAAATTAGCTTCAAGTTCAGAATAACACAGCTAACAATGGTACTTCCCAGCCAACTACACTATTTCAGAAGTGGGATGTGCAGATTTTTGGCTAGAGTTCTGATGTGAACTTTTATCTGTCAACATACCACGTTGACAGAAATTCTAAGTAGATTCCTCTTCCCCGCACCAAATCCAGAGTGTTCCAACCAGATTGTGGGTTTGGCTCATCATCAGCTCTTCACATCTGTGAAGCGGTCATATATTGAATGCTTTATAAACAAAGCAAAACTCCTTATTTCTTAAGTTTATGTTGTGCTGAGAGATTTTACCAAGAAAACTAGAGGTCAATAATGAAATAATCTGAACAGCCAGCCAATAACCACAACATTCATGGCAAGCAAAGGAGCACTGTGAGAGATCAGAGAGCAACTATTGAGCTATGCTGTGCTAGATCATTAAGCTTTTATGAAAAAAAATCTTGCAATTCCTATAGTTACCTGCTCTGGCTGTCCAAACAAAGCTTATTTACAAGACTAGATGCTGCTCTCAGCTCAGTATTATTAACAACCGAAGTTCATGTGCCCTTGCAGCCAAGAAGGCCAATGGCATCCTGGAGTGTATCAGAAGGGGTGTGGTTGTAGGTCAGAGAGGTTCTCCTTCCCCTCTACTCTGCCCTGGTGAGACTGCATCTGGAATATTGTGTCCAGTTCTGGGCCCCTCAGTTCAAAAAGGACAGGGAATTGCTTGAAAGAGTCCAGCAGAGCCACAAAGATGATGGAGGGAGTGGAGCATCTCCCTTATGAGGAGTGGCTGAGGGAGCTGGGTCTCTTTAGCTTGGAGCAGAGGAGACTGAGGGGGGACTGCACTAATGTTTATGAATTTGTAAAGGGCGAGTGTCAGGAGGAAGGAGCCAGGCTCTTCTCAGTGATGTCCAATGACAGGACAAGAGGTAATGGGGGCAAACTGGAGCACAGGAGGTTCAATCTGAACATGAGGAAAAACTTTTTCACTGTAAGGGTGACAGAGCACTGAACAGGCTGCCCAGAGAGGTTGTGGAGTCTCCTTCTCTGCAGACGTTCAAAACCCACCGGAACACATTCCTGTGTGACCTGGTCTGGTGATCCTGCTCTGGCAGGGGTTGGACTGGATGAGCTTTCGAGGTCCCTTCCAACTCCTAAGGTTCTGTGATTGTGTGATTCCATAAGTCTCTGCTAGGGCAATCCCAGACCTTTCTCCTCAACCAGCTGTGAATGTTTAACAGAAAAATTAACACTTTAGTGAATACATGTATCTACATACTGCATCTAAATGACTAAAAGCAATAACTATTAAGTTCACAAATTTCTCACACATAAAATTCAGGGGCACACAAACATATATTGCTAAGTCACACTGCTTTATTGCCAATGCAATAAATTGATGGCATCCCTTATATCCAACACATAAACCTCTTCTGTTCCACAAGTCTTTCCTAGGAGGAGAGCAGATGTGTTGCTTCTAACCCTGTCCAACAATCATTTTAAGCATTAACTCATTCCAGCTCATTCAGTCTTTGCACAACATAGAAATGGAGAAGCACAAAGGTAACCCATGTTTGTTATATGACAATCATTGCAACTGGATGGTCAGATGTCATTGACATTTCTTTCATTTTCTCAAGCCAGTTTCATGTGTCGGCATATTAAGAATTGCCCAAGCTTGTCTTTAAGCAATAAAATAGTTTTAAAGCCATTACTATTTTTGGCTTCCAGTTCACCTGCAGTCATCCATATTCCTGTGAAGTCATGGCCATACCAGAAACGGCCAGCAAGAGATCTGACATCAATCCACTCTGCCCAGTAGCATAATGGTACAACAGCCTGGTACTAACAGCAGAATTCTCCATTTCTGAAACATTTTCCTATTGCTCTAACTCTGCTTATTTTTTTTAGCAATTAACTGTAATTTCTTCTGAATTAGACTTCAGAAATGGGATTTCCTTCCTACTGTGGACACTGTCTTCCATATGTTGGCTTGCAGCTATTACACACAGGCTAACACAGCAAAACAGCAAAGGAGAATCTGAATCCTTGTGTTCAAAGGGTGTGATTACTCCCAGCCTGAATTGAATAGGTGCTGAGCCCTATCAGGTGTTCCTGTGGTAAAAATGCAGTGTTTCATCAGCAGAGGTGCTTACTTTTAGAATCAAGAATTGCCAAGGCTGATAAAATCTTGAAAGTCTGGTTTTTATAATAACTGCTTGCATCAGAAATAGATAGTATCCTACAGGAAGAGAGTTAACAACACAGGGCAAGGCATCTCGTACGTGTAGTAATACTGAGATCACAGTTGCCATTGGTCCAAAACATGCAGCCTGCCTGCTCCCAGGATAAATTATAATTTCAATACACAAATTAAACTTTCCAGCTTCAAGAGAAGGTGCAACAGTTCCATGTCATGTGCAGGAGCCTTAAATAAGTCACTGTTTAAAACCATTATGTATATATATAAGAAAAATGGGAACAAAGCAACAGGCCTTCAATAAAGGAAAAAGTAAAGCTTCACTGCTCCCTAAAACAAAGCTCTGATATACCTATCAACGACACAATAGAGAACTGCATTACGGAAAGAACATTTATTTTTTATTTCAAAACTTGTGATCCATAGAAATACAATAAAATCAACATGTACACAAAATTTTTTAAAAAAACAACTTTGGTTCAAAAAAATATTTAACATCTAAATCTTCTGAGGTACAAAAGGCACAAGACCAGGCACCCAAACGTACTGAACTGCCCACAGCACTGTTTGCACCACTACTACAGGGAAAGCTGGGAGGGCAGAAGGCAGGTCCAAGGAAGATGGCAGGGGGAACATGGAAATAACAGTAACCAGAACACAAGGTATGCGTACAATGCCATTTACTTTCTTTCACAGGTGTTACACACTTTGTTATCCTTTTTTAGTAAAGTGCCAGGACTCTTGGAGAAAACGATGGATCATTTCTTAGAAATGAACTGGAAGAACAAACAGTAGAAAAGAAGACAGAAATCTGCAGATTGGGTTTCAGTCAACCTCTGTTCTCCCACAAGGTCTTAAGAATTCATTTCCTCTTTCATGAAACCACTTGTTTGAAACTGTGGAACAAAGACTTGAAATTAGTTACCACACAGTGCACGTATCACAGCAACCCAGATGGTTACTTCAAGTAAAATATAATCTCTCAGTCTGAGAATCCCCCCTTACACTTCTCTACCCATCCAACAGGAAAGACTTAGGAAGATGCCAGGGCTGGGGAAGAAAGGATCTTTCCAATTGCACAATCCTGGGGCCAACAGTAACAGAGCAGTGTATGCTGTGTCAGGGATTATTTATGTATCAGTGTGCTCTTGCACTCCAGGGGAATACCTTGGTGCCTGGAGGAGGTAGGTATGGGAATGGATGACATAGAGCTTGAGACACTTTCAGCAGTTAGCAGGAATTCCCAGTGTCCAGGCATTCACATTTAGCTTACAAGGAGCTCTCCTCCTTTTGCAGCTAAAACTATGTACAAATCTTTGTAGGAACAGACCTGGTTCTAGTCAAGTGATAATTCAAGTCATCCTGATGCTAGCACACTACACAAGCCCAGGGACGTTCTTACACACTTTGTGCTGTCATCAACACAAAACAAACTCACTAGAAGAGCTACAGCTGAACAATGTAGCTGCTCAATACTACACTATATTGATGGTGGGAGTTTTCATAACGGTCAAACGATTTCAGCAGTTAAAATGGCAACACAGGTTATTAAATGCTGTTATAAGGGTTTGGTATATCACCAGTTTTGCACATAATGAGCCTTGCTTTGGATTTTGTTCCTAAAGGAGTATTACTTACCCCATTTACACCCTACTAGTACTGGACAAGCTGCATGCCTTGTTCTATAATCACCCTCACCACTTCTGAAGAGATTGTACCAAAACACTGCTGTACCCTGAAAAGTGAAGTCAGATCTGGATTAGTCAGAACCTAGTCAATAGAATTATTCAGATTATAGTAAGTGGGAGGGAAATGCCTATGAACTCAGCTGCAGGCTTTTATGAAGCACTTTAACATAGGTCACCACCAACAGCACATGAAATAAACCCTTAATCCCACGTTGTTAATTCACCCAGTACAGAGAACAAGATTTTTTTTTTGTTAATAACAGATCTTCACAGAAACCATTCACATTATATGCAAGAAAAACCACAGGAAGCAGCCCTGCAGACTACAAGATCAGCTACAGTGCTTGTGATACATTGCAGGCCATCGATCAAGTTGCAGTGGACAGCACTTTGTCACATGAACTGACTCTTAAACAGATGCAGGATTGCACTGAGGAAGAGGCAGTAACAGGAAAGAAGAAAAAAGCAAAACTCAAACAGACTTTACCTTTTTGGGCCATATTGCTGCCCCAAAATCTGGGAACACTGTAGCTCCTCCAGCTTCTACATCACTCATCTGAGAAAACAAAGTCCACAAACTCTATTTACAATGCTTTTTGTAGGTGCATCCCACAAAGATAAAGTGCCCTAAGCCCTAACACAGAGATTTCTAATTGCACCTCTACAAGAGGCACTGATGAGGAAAGGATGCATTTTAACCAGCACAAACTGCAAATACAACAAGTGCCTGCTATTGAAGGTTTTTCTTTCAGCTGATGGCTTTTGTTCAGCCATTTGTCTAGATTATACATAATCAACTGCACAACTAGCCCTAAGAAATTGTGTACCTGCAGTGTTAAAAATCTAGTGCTGTAGAACAAGGGAGAGGACTTCAGAGTAAAGTCAGTTTCAATAATTTAATTGCAGTTTATGATCCAATTAGGAAAACAAGTAAGTGTCTGTTATACCACATGTTTCCTCAAATTGAAACCATGTCTTTGGAACTGATTTTCATAATTTAGTTTATGCATCTTGGTCAACCACTTCAAAAACTATACAAACTATTAGAAAACTTCACTGTCTGCACTGTTTCTGTGCTGTTCACCAGCAGTGTTATGCCTCTTCAAGTGCTTTATGCATCTCAAGCTTGAATACATACAGCTATATGACTCTAAAGAAAAGCATGTATCTTTATACTTTGCCCTTCTACACTGGAATGAATTTAACTCTATGAACTCTGTCAGTAATGACAGATTCACTATAAACTCAAGACACAATTCAAAATCCACTGAAGTTCCTGGAAACACTCCCATTAAAAATAGAAAGTCTTTCCATTGATTTCAGTAAGTTTTTGATCAGATTCTAATTAGAAGAAACAAATGAGTCAGATCCAGCTCCCACCAAATTTACACAGCAGAACTACTATTAATACACTCCCCAAGTCCCCACAATCTCTATTGTAACTTGGATTTCTCTTTAAAGCAGATGTTATTACCACTCTGTTGTCCTCCTGCTTGGTACCTACAATAAAAGGGCACAAGATGCCACAGGTGCACAGGTTTCTGCCCCTTCCAACTAGAAAGCGCATGCATGCAACTTTGCAAGTTAATACCTACATCTCAGCAACACAACCACTCTTTTTAGTAGGGGTGTTGGTACATGTGTGATATGTTCTACACAGGACGTACAAGGGTAATTGCCTTTGACCATGTACAACTGTCAGAGAATAAAGTACATATTCACTGTAAATCAAAGCTTACCCAAACGTCTGAGAAGCAAACAAAACAGACTGAGAACACAAGATTAAAGATTCTTACCAGCAGACTATTTCACAGCTACCTATTTCATTCCAGTTCTTGTTTCAGAGGTTTCCTACCCCTGCCATACCAAGTTGAAAGTATTTCTGGTTCTGCTTTGAGCTGTATTTCACACTCAGAATACCAGCTCAGCCATAAATATTTCATCACAGAATTTTAGATTTGAAGTTGTATCAATCAAAAGTTAAACACAGATTAGGTGAACCTAGTTACTGATATAGTAAGCATAGGGTGATAGATAAAATATTGCCAGAAGACTACTGTGAAAACATTAGGCCACTAGAACCAGTGGCAGTTATGTTTATGATGCCAGTGTACATGGTCTGTAGGCTGTGTAATGCATGCAACTAATGAATCTTTTGAATTCTGTATTAGTAACCCAGTTGCACTGAGTTTATTAGCTGTGTCTCCTCCACTTGCTGAAGCAACAGCTATGCCAGAGTAACTCTAGCTTTGACAAACAGCTAAAATGGAGGTTGACAGATTACAACATCAAGTGCTGTCAAACAGTGGTGGAAGAACATGACTGTCTCACCATAAATGGTTGACAGTCAAGTTCTCAAACAGTGTACCACGAAGGGTACCCCAGGCACACGCCTTTAAGAAATAAGCCAAATTCTCCTCTTCCACCAACAGGAATCCAATGAAGTCAAAGGTTTCATAGTAGAGGGGCCGAAGAGGAGGCTGGGCTCTATATTCAAATTTTCTACTCTGAGGTTAAATAACACCAGAATTCTATGAACTCAGATGGGACAGCACCTGATGCTGCAAGAGTAATGAAATCCCTACTTCCAGATGCCATGGAATCTCTACAAATAACCAACTGCACAAGCTGTAAACAAGATGCTGCTGAAGTTACACTCAATGCATAAAGGATCATCATACTTACATAGTTTAAAAAAGTGGCCACACGATTTCCAGTCCCTAACCGCTTGAAAGCATCTGGCTCATCTTTCTATAAAATTAAATGAGAATAACTGCAAACTTCAAGCTCACAGACAGCAGACGAACAGAGGTACTTACATAGTTAAGAAACGTCGCTAGCCTATTTCCTTCCGTTTTGAGTGTGCTGTCAAAGGGTCGCTGTAACAGACAACAACTTTAACCCAAGTTCCAAACAGGCTCACACTAGAGTTACACATGTGTAGCTCTGCAGAGAGATCCTTAAGCTCAATTTGAAGAGTTGGAATAAAAGGGGACAATTGATACAGGCAACATTAAAGCCATAACAAATTGCAGCCAGGGTGCATAAATGCATGCACATAGCACTCAGATGCTGTAAGGAGAAGTAGCACTGAAGCCATTCTTAGGGCAGAGCAGAAACAGTGTTCTCACAGATGCTCTCCACGTACAGTTAACTACAGACCATTACTATACTGGACACTGATCCAAAGTCAAGAACCAAGGAGAATATGAAAACCCCTTCATCATCAGTGGGTTTTAGATAACGTATTAGATTCTTGTAAATGTAATAGCAAGTAGAAAATACTGTCATGAGAAGAGAAAGTGCATTTTTTTGCCATCAGCCAAAACTGCAGAATAGCAATAATGAACTTCTTTCAGGTGGTTGCCTGTCTAGGATTAAGGACCACATCAAAAAGATCAAATTGTCTTTACTCTGTAAAAAACATCGAGTTTCGTTTGTTGAAGCACGAGATCACTTTGGTACCAGTTTAGAAGCAGAATGAACATCTAAAATACCAATGTGTCTCTCCTCCTTTAAAAAAAGTGCAACTAAAAGTTTATTTACATTGCTAATAGTCAGGAAGTAATTTCAGCAAAGAGATATTAAGATACCCTCTTCTATGCGGAAACAATAATCTTCAACATTTAAAGAAAAGCAGAAATCAGTATTAGAAAAAAAACAAACAGTAAGGAAAACCACAGCCACCATCTCTAAGATGTTATAGTTCAATCTACTTGAAGCGTCTTTCAAGAAATACAGAATCTTTCCTGAAATGGGCTCATAAAAAATAACTTTTGGATCTGCATACGCAAATTCAATCTAAAAGAGCCAACATACCAGCCCTGAGATACAGGAGTTTTGCTGGTTTCTGCAGTTGCTTCCAAACCCAGATCCAGCCATGCATTTCTGAACTTCAATATCAGAAGATTTCTCTAACTTCAAGGAACCAATACAATCTCAAAATTGTAATACGCAGCTATTAATGTGCCCCTATTTGAGAACTGCAAGGGAACAAAAAGCTGCAGGGCTGAGGAGGAGATGGGAAGGCACAGCAGTATCGCCGTGTTTCAATACTGAAATCTGTGATGCACAGAGAGCCTGGAGGACCAGTCCAAAGCTATGGCAAATTCTGTGACTGCCTTGCCTTAACTGGTGACTGCAGCCAAGGTTATGTTCCAAGTGGAGCTCTGCCCCAGCTGCCTAATCCAAAAGTCAAGTCCACATTGGCCAATTTGACAGCTGAGGTCCTTAAATTCAAATTCAAAGGCTTTGAAGAGAATTTAAGAGCATTTGCTTGACTCCAGAAACAAAATGATCCTAAAGTTAACAGGAAAATTCTCTCGACAGGCCAAAGCTAACAAAGATGAGCTTCCACAGTGTTGAAGTTCAGGATTTTTATTTATTTATTTTAACAGTGCTAAGTCGGGTGGCTTCAATTTGGCACTCAGTAATTGGGTTGTACTCCGGCTATAGCAACCCCTTTTACCACTGGAGCAGCCTGAATTAAGCCAAATTCCACTGAAGTGCCAACCTGATTAGAAACCAAGGCATCAGATGCACTTCATATTTGAAGTTACCAGTCACCATAGCTCTTCAGTATGATGACCATGTCCACAAACTGTTTTAGGGTAACAATTGAGAATTCCTATTTTTCTTTCTTGCAGCAAACCAGAGCTGTTATCTGCCAGGTAGAGCCCTCTAGTGCCTCGTACAGATCCAGCACCCACCACCTCCAAATTCTGCTCGCTGTAGCATTGCGCTCCTGAACACCTACGCAACAGACCCCTTTCAGACCCTAGAGCTGCAGCCACACTAAAGGCTTTGCCAGAAGGTCTCTATGACTCATGAAGATCTCCATAATAGCTACTTCTCTGAAGAGCAGTGGAAGGATGTCTCCTCTTCAGCCAGCTCCTGCTTTGAAATACCCAAAGGAGGACTGGAACAACCTTGCTGAACTCTGAGGCCTAATGGAACAATGCAGACTCATAACCCAGGGCTTGCAGACCTCAGTTTCTAAATGCAGTAAAGGAAAGAGCATATCTGAATGCTGCATGACTATTTGTTAGTGCCTCTATACTGCACAAGGAACTAGTGCAACAAGGAAGCAGGCAGATTTGTTCATTGTCCTTTTGACCTCTCAGCACCAGAGAAGGCAGTGCTTTTCAGACGTCATAATCCATCCATGCAACAGAAAGCACTTTCAACAGTTTTCTCTCAAAACAAACTGTTCCCCTTTCCCCATCCCACTAAGAAATAATTGAAAGTGTGATCTTACCCTAGAAAAATCGAAGTGTGGCTCATACTGCCCTCCCATTCCATAGTTGGCAACCTACAGCATGAAAGAAGGAAGCATAAACATCCATTGAACTGCAAGTGACTGCTGCAGAAGATAGCATTTGCTTTCAGAAATCCAGAACAAGCTTTGAGAAACAGCACTCTGAGGCAAGACTGTTATCAATAGCACACTTAATTTCTCTTTAGATTGCCAGAAGTGAGGTATGTGGATGAGAAACAACTTAAGTGCTCTTTCCTTTTCATAGTTTAAGGGTTTCACTGAGAATAGTTCTCAGTACTAAATATTTCTCAGTGGCAGCACACTAGTTATCACTGCAACAGCCTGCTTGACATGAATCAGCAGCAATAGTTTGACCACACTCTTGCTCCCTCTTCTGAAGGGTATGCGTATTCCTCTAGTATGTGTGCCTAAACTAGGAGACAGAACTAGATTCTGTGCCACACGTGTGATCTGTTGCATACACATGCCCACCCAGGAACACAGAAGGCTTAAAGCAGTTTAAAAGCACCACTTTGCTTACTTTATCTGAAGATCATATGACATATGATTTAGTTACTCTGAGGCTGCACTTAACATGTCTCCCAGATCACTACACAATTTACTGGCTATTCACAAAAACCAGGAATCAACAGCACTTTAATCAGGCTCTAAACCAGGAATTCAAGCAGCATGGAGGAAGACAAGCAGTTAACAGGCTAAGATACAGCTATTGTGGCACTGCTGTACCACTTCTATTCTCATCCTCTCCCCAACAGACAGCCAAATATCAGAATTCATATGAGATTATAGCAAGACTGTGAAAAATATTTGGGGCTTTGAAAGGTTTAACTAGGAAGGAGGGTTCAACTTCTGCAGACTTGAAAATAAGCATCAGGCATCATCCTCAAAACAAACTGCTAAATCACAGACTCTTCTGCAAAGTCTATTTCTTTGACATCTCCACTCTTCTTTGCCTGGCACACAAGGGAAAACAGCTACCTGCCAGATACTTGCAGCTAGCAGCAGCTGGGGACAGCCCATACTCTCCATAAATGCCTTACTTACCTATTCCATGTATATAGTCAGACAGCAGAACCCCTAAGAGGGACTGGGGAAGAGCCAGCCTGTGTTTATACCTGCATAAGCGCCAGATCACAATGACCAGCAGCTAATTTTACCAGGGTAAAGTCTGACAAGACAAGTGTACCAACCTGCAATAGTTCAGCTGTTTTCACTGTTAACCCCGTGATCTGCTGCATTCGTTGATTCACCTTGGCCACAACAGGATCATCATCTTCCTCCAACCATGAGCTAGGATAAGGGAAAGACTGAAGCATTATTTTGGAATACCAACCACAACAACCCATTTCCCAAGGCAGGAGGATTCTGCTGCCCTCAGTCAGATGGCTGGAAGAGCCATTTACCATGCATTTGTTGTGCAAGCTTTTGGTACATGCAAAGCAGTTCAAGATTTCAGCTGTAAGTAGCAGATGACAGCTGCTAAGCAAAAAAAAACAACTTAAAGCTAAACTCTCCTCTATGCTTACCTTTTTGATACCCTGTAGCTAGCCACTGTAAGGACACCGGTTTTGGGATCACGTACTGTGGCTCGTGCCAGCTGTGTCAAAAAAAATCCCAAGGGGGAAGAAACATCAACTACAGGTTAGAAAAATAATTTCTCTCACCTTAACCAAAACCAACACCTGATTTGTCCAACTTCAGTACACTGCTGTATGAAAGTCATAGCTTCAACCTAAAGTTTGTTCTGACTTTATGCTAGAACAGCACATGCAGAAACAATGCAATCCATCACCTGCGTTTAAGCACAACTTAAGACTGCACAACCCATGATATTTATTAAATCCACAAGGACTGCTTGCTGAACAGGTTTTGAGGGTACTTTTTTTAAAACAGCTGGAGTCAATATTAGCAAGAGGGAACAACAAAAGTTAACAACATATGAAGCTCAAGTTCTTGGCAAAGAAAAATCATTGGATAGTCCATAAATTTCATCAGCCTGCTCCTCACGTGGACTGCAAAAACCTCATTCCCAGATTAAAAAAAACCAAAAACCAAAAAACCAAACACACACAGAAACAAAAAAACCCACCACAAACAAGTGAAAACTTTTACAGAATGAGTTACAAATTATGGGGCGGGCAAATCCAAAGGAGTAGAAAACTCCTGAGGGCAACTCTCAACATTACCATGCTCATATTTTCCAAGTGGAAGATGGCTGGAACACAAATCAGAGTCTGAGATAATGCTACTACGTTATGAAGGTAACTGCAAAAGCACAGTTCACCTATACATTTTAAACAGTGAGTAATGCATCATCATTCTTGGGCCACATCACCATATTAGTAAGAAAAATTTGGAACGTGGCAAAACTGACCAGATCTGCTGCAGTGTCAAAGCGATAGACTACTGCTAACATAACACAACAGGTCACTTTGGGTTTATACTTGCAGCTGAGAACAAGAACTGGGACACTCCTTTCTTTGACTGTAAACTCAGACCGCATTTAAATTTAACCTCCTGCAAACCACAAACACTTTAAATCATGCCTCCTTCCTTCCACTTTATTATAGGTCACAGAAAGCCTTTTCATTTGCGTTTTCTTCAGAGCATGCAGTCAGTATTTCCTTCATTTTTCCTCAAATAAGTCTGCAGCCAGCTTTACAATGCATGTCAGCTGTCTTGTCCCTATACAAGAGTTCTTGGCATAGCTCTTCTGTAATTCTGAGTCACTGTTATTTTGCTCCAGATTTCTCCTTCATAAATCATAACAAGAGCCAGGCTGACTGAATGTTGTTCTTCGCTAGTACAGCAAAGCATAGCTTTTGGGATATAATTTAGTTTCCCAAGCTTTTCATTCTGCTCCCATTTTCAAGCAAATGACAATTTCAAGCTTGCTTGATTTCTGCACCTAGCATTTGATCTAAATTATTCAGAAGGAAAACAAGCCTGACTACATTCATGTTATTCCCTATCTCCTATTCTCCAATAGGCAGGCTTCTTCATTTAAGGTGTAACATCACTTGGTATAACTAACTGATACATGGGAGGCTGCTTCTCACAAGAAAAAGCAGCCTCGTTATATGCATTTGCTGGGAATCGAAGAATCGTCATAACACACTGGGTTGGTCAGAAGCTTCATCCAGTCTCTAAGTCTGCCTTCAGTTTAGCACACACTCCATTGGCTTTTCCTTCTGAAATGCTAGAGCACTGAATACAGAGATATTTAAATATTCCCATCCATGCCATATTTTTGCCTCCTCAGGCATGCCTGAATTCCAGGTACTATCCAGAGTTTTGGGAATAAGTTACTTGTACTTTCATGGCAGACCTGTCCCAATGCAATCCACACCAATAAAGTTAAGAACTTTCTTGACCCTTCCCAGTCAGCTCTGATGTATTACCTTAAAAGGTAGAACAACTTTTTGGAATTGGAGTAAAAGTGATTGCATTTTGCAAAACAAGCATGAAAACCAACTTGAATACAGCTACTCTCAGTCATGTACAGATGATGTTTCTCTACCAGACAAAAAAATATTGGCAAGCATAAACTTCAGATAATGTTAAAGTGCTTGGACCCAAAAGTAGAAGTTTCTTGCAAATGCATTTTAGAATAAAGGAAGCGCTCATCTTTCTGAGCCCAAAACTAACACACTACTTCAGAGTTCTGTCTGAAAGCTTCTATGATTACTAACTAAAATTTCCTGGCTGAATTTAAGCCACGTTAAGGACCATCTCATCACAGGACTTCCATTTTCCATTCTTTCAGTAGTGCTGAATTTAAAGCTATTCCTGCAGCTGAGCTATAGAAAGCTGAGATTTAGAAAAAAACAAGTTATACGAAAATGTTGGGGTTTTTTTGTTGTTTTTTTTTTTTTCCAATTGAAAACTTGCACATGCATCTTAAGACTACAATATTTACCTACTACAGGGACTGATCCCAGTTCTACACTATATAGATTATACGAAGAATTCCTCTGACATCAGTAATATAAGCAAAACTCGGTGATCAAGACTTAATACTTTCCATAAAGTTCTGAACAAAAAGTGAAAATTAAACAAAAAAAATAATAGGTGCCTTATTCAGAATGTGCTTAATTTGATAAAATAGATTAAGTTATACGCTCTATTTGAATGTTTCTATTTTATCTGAAGCTCTTGAAGTTTTATAGTGTGATGTAATAGGAAAAAAAAATCTCCATTAATGGAGCTCAGAGTCCTCACTGAGACAGGAGTGTTCTGCCAACACCCCCATAGCTGGCTGGTAGTCACAGAAGTCCAGCTTCACAAACATATCAACTTCATAATGTTCTTTGGAAGCATCAGTTTCTCAATCTGTTTCTAACTATTTATGTTTACGTTTAGAAATATATACAGAAGATTAATTATTGACTGGAATTTTAGTACCACATTTCATAGCAGTAGGTAGAAGAGTGCTAAAAGGAAGCATTCCTCTATAAACAGGAACGTTTAGTTTTACATGCTTGTCAGAACTGACAGAAAAGTAGAATGTAGCATCTACTACTGACCTCACACTGCCGTACATTTTTTTGCCAGAAAGGAAACAGACAGGAAATTCCACCTCCAGAAAAATCAGACAAGATAATTACTAGCTTTGCATTAGGTATGTGCCTTTTTTGTTGTGTGCAGTTACACCATAGGTAACAGGAACTGCATCAAAACTAGGGTTCCCACAACGCAGCTGCCTTTGAGTTGGATCTACGCTTGGCTGAAGCTGTCTACACATACTAAAGCTGTCACATCTGTTTCTCTGCTGCCCAACAGCCAGCCATCTGGGTGGAAAAGTCAGATCTACAATGCTCTTGGAGAACGACTGTATTATGCACTCATCCTTACAAGCACTCTGTCCTTCCCAAGGCCCAGATTGGGAATTACTTAAGAGCACAAATGATTTCTCCAGACTGTGTTAACTGTATCACATCATTCCCAACGAGCTGTGTGTGGCTTCAGAAGACTGCAGTTACACTGATGGATGCACCGTCACATCTAAAGTGCCTGTCTATGTGCAGGTCTAGACTATGGTTTAAAACAGAAGCAGTGGATTCCAGGTTACCGGAAGTAATAAACCAAACCTCTAGATATTCTTCTGGCACAACTTAAAAAACCAACATTGTTTCTTCCCACTTCTGTTGGGATTTGGGCTTTTTAAATTCTGTTTTGAAGTTCAGCTGCTTTTCAAGAGACAGACTTAAGGTATAGTGGACACCTACTCCTACCACTGTAAGCCAGACAATCATCTACCTTTTCAGGTCTAGTCCCTAGTTTACTAAAAAGCTTAAGCCATTTACTGAGAACTTTGCATAATTAAAGTGCAACAATACAAAAATACCTTCAGAAGCCTGGGCTTCATGGTCCTACATCAGACAGTTTTGAAATCATTCCTCTTAGACTGCAGTATATCATCTGTAGTATGAAAGCAAATCTTTCAAATCCTTTCCCTAGTCTTTGCTAACAAATTTAAGCACGGAATTAGCAGTCATTACTGAAATGGAAGAGGGAAGCTTACCCTTGGCTTAGCTAGTTGTTTAATTTTCTCAATTTCTTCATCAGACATGACATCATAGTATCGTACAATATGAGGGCTATCCCATTCATCTTCTTCCTTAAATGGTGCTATGAGCAGATGAGGGTTTCTGTTTCCATCATGGTACCTACAAAACAGCCTTTTCTGTCTTCGAGGTGTCTGAAATAAAATGCCAAACAAAACAGTGTTTGCTCTTCCACTTTTCACATACTTAAAATAGACAAGGCAAAAAAGAAAGTGAACTTCATGCCACAGACACTGTAAAACCCATCAGCTGATTAGAAAATTTAAGAGTGAAGCATGAGTGATTCTGCAATTTACTGCAAATAAAAAAAACCATATGCCACTCAAGATACCACTGGGCAACATCTGAAGCACTAATTTTTAGGAGAATTAAATCATAGCAGGTTACAGATCAAGCAAATAACTACACAAACAGCAAGCTGTAAGAAAAAGCCTGGTTCTTTTAACTAAGATTATGCAGATGGAATAAATTGACTCCTTTCCCTGCACTGAGAATTAAAGCCATGTTTGTTAAGTGGTACAGAGACTGGTTGGTCAAAATAGTCACCGCAGAAGGACACATCATAATATGCAAAAGGGAAGGACTAACATGATTCTGTAACTGTGGCAAAACATAACCAGCTCTCAGTGGAAAAAGCTTCCCAGTATATCTGTACAGCTGGCATTTGAAATGGCTGAGTAGGCAGATGGAAGAGAATCAATTTTCAACAACCTTTAAGAGGTACAGTTGAGAGCTGTTTTTCTGTCTAGGATTAATAGCTAAAGATAGAGAGGCCAAAATATAAGGTACAAATCTCAGCCTGAAGATATCTACATTAATTTTTTTCTAAACAAAAAACAAAAAACAAAACTCAAACAGAATGCAAACAAAAAAAAGTCCCCCAAAAAACAGCTTCACAGGAGGAAAAACTTAACACGTCCACTAAGCTTGATCATGCTTATGCAAAGGCTGCATAGTCAGGAAATTCTTGCCTTTCTCTTACCATTTTTACTCCTTCACCTCTACAAAGGGCTTCATAGATATCACGCTCTGGCAAGTAGTCAAGAGGCCTCTCATAGGCACCACTTTGCACCACTGGTTCTGTTGTTGTCATGGTCTTGTTTATTGACTTCTCTTTCTCCTTCTCCTCTCTCTCCTTCTCCAGCAACTTCTCAAAGTACCGCAGATTACTGCCTGCTCTCTCATGAGTACTGTCTTAATTGGGAGAAAACCAGACAGAAAGAGTGATTTATGCAATCTCAGGAACTGTTAAAACAAACAACTCTTTGTATTGAGACAGCAATAATTCTCCTCTTCTTAAAGCATTATGAGGTAACCAAAGGCATCAGCTTTAAGTTTGCACTAAAAACAAGCAGTGGCAAGTTCCTGTCTTTGCAGAGGGAAGGTAGGCATAGTCTGCAAAACAATGTTTTCTGAAGAACCTATCACAAAACTTGTATTTCAAGAAAAAAAGTGTAGGAGTTATTGGTCTTCACATTCCTCCTTTTCTGTCAGCTTTTCTGCCCAAGACAAGCAAATCTCATCAGCAGATATCAAGCTAGTCTACTTGTTGCACCGCTCCTCTCCGCTATGTTCCTCATCCACAGAGCACAAGCACATACACGTGTTTTAACCAAGGACTGTGGTGGAATCTCAGTCAGACTTCAGTCCCAAAGGCCTTCTCCAAAGTTGGGAAGCTCAGATGTACACATCCATCTCTAGATGTTTATAACAGGTTTATATGGGAAGTATCCTGGATCACTAGCATCGTTGGACCCATCATGAGTGATGTATTAACAATGTCGGTATGAATCAATAAACATCATGAATAGATCTTTACCCAGCGTAACTAAGAAGGAACAATTCCCTGTTCATCGCAAAGTGTTTCAGGACACTAATACCTATAAGAGTTTTCCTTTCTGGCCCTCCTAAGCTTATCATGTTTATCTTATGAAACTAACCCAGAAGGCCACCTAAGTAACCACTCAGAGTGCAGGCTAACAGTGGCCAGATGAGGAAGTTAAGCCGAGAGCAGAGGAAGCTGCTGTTCCCAGAAGGGACTGCCAAGTCTGATAAGTATTTGCATTCTGCTATCAGTGCTAAATCCTGTTGCAGAGGGAGCTATATTCAACACATATTCATATTCTTATAAGTTTTAAGCTATGAATTCCAGGGTCTGAAGAAATTAAACTGATATGTATTTTTAAAAAAAAAAAAGCTTCACCCACGCTCAGGATGCAGCTAATATCTACACTAGGAACAGCAGCTGATTAAAAAGCCATACAAATACATAGCACAGTAAATGTTAACTCTAACTGGGAAGGATTAACCTTTCCAATGCAGAAAGTAGGCAAAGTTGGATAGGAAGCAATGTTTATTTGCTTACTCAAAAGAAAGCTAGAAACAGACCAGAGATAAAAGGAAGTTTTAAGAAACTCAATCTGTTCTGAACACTCAGAAATAAATACTTTAAGATCTCAGGTAAAGTATTCTTCTGGCATCAGAGAGTACTGCACTGAAGAATAAAGACGAATACACGAAGTCAGTAGGACTCTACCTACAGAACAGACAGCACCCTAAGTCTGTGGTAGCCTTGATCTCCACTTGAGGAGAATCCTAAACCCAGGCTTTAACCATTACCAAACACATCTCAGTACACCAAAGCACACAGGTATTGCAGTCAGACACACATTTGGTCCCTGGTGAGATCAGCATGGACTATAAGATAGCTTGTTAAAGATACATCATATATAAGGAGACATTTTTTCCAGGACCTACATTTATTATAAGCCATCTGTCAGGCTCATCCAGTCAGCTCATCAGTATGTATGGGCCATGACTGTTCTTGGCTCTGTGGCTGGCAACACCACCCAGCACTAGAATAGCAGCCCTTTTGTTCTTACCAAGGGATATCAGACGTCTGGTAAGTTCCATGGCTCTGTGTAAATCCCCAAACTGGAAAACAGCATAGCTGAGATAATCTAGTATCTCCACTTTGCTGACTGTTGTATCCTCCCCCTCATCATGTTGTTTCAAGGCTTGCTCCATCCAGAGCACTGTGTGATAGTAGTCTCCATCATTGTAAGCAGTCTTCCCCATACCAAAGCAGTCACCTACTGTCAAAGAGGACCTATATTTTGTTCCTGAAAACAAAAAAATAGCTTTAAGCAATCCACACAAAAGCATCTTTGCCTTCAAATCCATGGGGCACATTGAAGAATACAACTTCCATCATCCAAAAAGCCTTCTAAGACAATGCTTTGACAATATTTTAGGTGCTGTATCAAACCGATCACCTTCAAAATTGTTTAGATTACATTCTATCCTAATTCTGTGGCATTAATTCCTTTGAAAACCAAGATAACATTAACACAAAATAGTGTTAAGCTATTCTGTTTCCTGTTATAGAGGCAAAGGCAGAGCAGACTAAGAGCTTAACAGGCTTTACTGAACCCACAGATTAACACTGATGATCAAAGAAGCCTGACTATATACAGAGCTAGCTTGTTTGCTATTTACTGGACATGCATAAGCTTGTGCATAAACATGCTGACAGTTATTTAGCCAAACTGGGTATTCATTTGACTGTAGCTACACACCGATTTCCGGTTCCTCCAGCTGAGCAGATGCACAGATAAGACTTAATTTTAAGTTCTTTATTAAAAACCTACATATAAGCAAAACTGCTGCCATCTCATCTGCCCATGCTCTAATGAAGCCTATTCTGTTTGTAAACAGTGTGTTGATAGCAACCATAACCTGTTTCTGTAAGTCTCATAAGCAGCAGCAAACATTTACCAAAGCTCAGCTGCCAAAACACTGAAGCATCCCAATACATCCATGTACTTTCCAAAACATATCGGTGGCAAAAACTGTTAGTTCCCATGTCAGATAAAAGACCAGGAGCAAAATCATTCAACCAAAGCTTCACTAAAGACCACAGCAAACAAGATTAGAGCCAAGCTTTGTAAGAGCCAGAGTAATGAATTATGGAGCAGCTCCTCCCCTTGGTTCGTGAGTTATTTGGGACAAGAAGCACCCATGGTGTTTGCTTATGTTTGCTTATCTTGTGCTTAACCAGCACAAGAACATATTTTGTCTTTTGTTATTTTGGTATAGCAATTATAAAAATGTGCACTGTCTTTTAAAGTAATACTGATTTTAAAAAATGCTACTTGAACCAGTCACTGCAGGCCACGGCTCCTTGGCTTGGGTGGGAACAACTCAAGGTTGTCCTCAAAATGCCAAAGTAGATACACGTTCAACCATCTGAGCCCCACAGACTCTCAACTAAATGATCCTTCCTCACTGAGAAAGGACTTTTGGAGAGAATTTGAGGATGTTACCACTTCCTTCCTTTCAACGTAGGGGAGACCCTTGCACACTTACCTGGTAAGTGTCCTCGAGAGAGAGTTTCAGGATCCAGCTTGTATGTGTCCTGCAGGCGCATCAGAGCCTTTGCAGCTCCAGTCTCATCTTCTTCAGTTGGAAAAAACTGACGCTGAAGTGTAAGATTTGAAATAAAGCCTTCACAGTAAAAGAGAAAGATGTTACTACTAGAGTTTGAATAAATATCAGTACTAGATTAATACTGAGGAGGAAACATCTGCTCTGGAGAATTGAGATTCAAATAATCCAGGTTTAAAGCCTCTTACTAGACTCTCAATTTAGAAAAACATTGTTTTCTGTCCCATTTTAAGAAATACAGCTCACGAGCAAAAGATAAAAGATAAATAACTAAAAACCTCCATTTTCTTGTGCCACACAATTATTAAAGTACAATGTGAATCTAATGATCTTCATTCTTCTCTCCTTCCAGTATGAAAACTTAATAGCTTTCATCAGTTCTCTTGCAATACCCACAGAGACAACCATAGATCATAATACTGGACAATGATTTCAGACTCTACTCCAACCTGTAAAGCCATAAGAGCTTTTCAAATCTCAGCTCAAGGGACAGTGATCCTGATTGAGGATCCTCTAAGCAGTGTAGGACCTTATTCAGGCTTTTAAACCTGGCAAGTAAAACCAGGTAATATTTCAAAATAAAATGCACTACATAAATATATCAAGGCTGTGCAGCAGGTTGGTTGGGTAGAAGTGGGGGCAATCAACTGAAAGAAAACAACCCAGCCAATTCCAGTCATGCAGCAAGCAGAACTGGAAAAGGAAGCATTTAGAAAAATAACGACAGAAGTACTCAATAGAAGTGAGTATTTTATTTCCATCTAGGATGACTATTCCAAAAGGCAATAAAAATCTTGGCTGGAAAAAACTTCCAAGTACCTAAACTTTAGCATATGCAGAATAGAAAAGGGAAACCTGCAGTGTTCTGCCTGAAAAACACAGCTTCTTCTCTCTTACTTTCAAAGAGTCCAGTAAAAATAAACTTGCATACAAAAAAAAAGCTATGGAAGCAAATTCAGGCAGACACTTTAACAATACGATGCAAAAGCAAAGATTAGTATTGGAAACATTTGATTTAGAAGGACTGAGTTACAGATAGCAGTTACATATTATCCTGTTATCAACAGACTGACTACACCATCTGTCAACTGCTAATGCTGGGGTGATATGAATTCCTTCAACTCATTATGGGTCTCAATTCGAACAGTAGATAAGATTTAAGAATCAGTATGGTCAAAAACCAATGATCGTCAAGGGAAGCAACAGACTGGGAAAGGAGATGACTATGTAAGAGGAACATAAAGCTCAAGACTAGCTGTAAAACAATAATTGCCAACACAGCTGACCACTTTAGTATATATGCTATTCTCGTCCCAAACAAAAGAGGTAACAGTTTCTTCGAGTCTTGACTCAAGTGTGTTTCACTGGCAAGTTTAACTTACTTGAGTATCCAGTAAACAAGAGGCCAATCATTAGTTTAAGTTTCAAACAAACTTGGCAATAATATTTAAACCATAGCCAAGTTTGCAGCTTTCTACACTACAAGGAAGGTGAGCAACTGTGCTGTAAGGCTTCCTCCTACTGATGCATCCTCTCCTCTAACTCCTTACCATTCGTGGTATCCTGAAGGACTAGGTTTTCCAATTCCAGCCAGTCAGTATTTAAACGCTTCACCAGCTTATATGCGTTTACAGGATGTGCCAGATACCCTTCTGGATCAGAGGTTGATTTGCTTGTCAGTACATCCATTTTTTCAGCCCAGCTGGAACAAGAAGTGTACGCTTCAGTCCAAGAACAATTTATGAAGGCATGTCTTCCTTCTTACGTCATTCTAATGATACAGGTAAAATCAATTTATTATTGCTGCTTTCACCACCATAACTGGCTTTCAAGCTTTCAACTTCACAAGGATAAAGTGAAGCACAACTGATTTTTTTAGTTACAATAGTCTGTTTTAAAAGGAATTTGTTTCCCTGCTTACTATTTTAAACCATGCTACAGAAGGCATGCTTCTCACTTGTAATGAAGTACAGTTACAAACAACTCTACATAACCACAAGTAAATACTGTCAGGCTATCTGGTTTCTTTGTACTATGATACTGCAGCAGAAAACAAAGTAAGATAACTTTTCCAGAGATCCTTTGCAGGGGTATCAGATTAACAACATAATTAAGTCCAGTCTCACCTGCGCTCCCTTTTTAATTTAGGCTTTCACTACTTTAATATTTATTTGGCAAATGAGTAAATACAGTTAAGTTCTAGTCTCACTCACATCACAATGTAATTTTGAATCAAACTTATCTCTGGAAGTAATAGACAAAATGCTGAAAAGTGCTACCACATTTCAATGATAACATTTAGCACTTCTGTTACAAAGCATATGCCTCATACACCAGCAGGATGCGGGGGCTCAAATACACCAGCATACAAGCCAACTGAACATTTAACACAAAAAAAGCACTTGCATATGTCAGTCCATTAAAAAAGTGACTTTTTGATGAAAGACCAGTTTCTACATAGATTGAACTGACATCCTCTTTAACAATACTTGAAGAGGAGACTGCTTTTCATCGAAAGGGCAGCTTTTCAAGAAATGAACATTTGTGACAAGGAATTCATATAATTTCACTACTCCATAGCTCCATCCCCACCCTACATCCCCAAAGGGAGTTCAAACTGCCACATACAGCCTGGAGTCTAGAAATCATCAACTCTGTTTACAGGCACTCAGTTCTTTTGGACCTGGAGCTCATTTACACTATTCCAGTGTTACACCCTTTAAGATATTACTTTCAACTAGATAAGTATTAACAGTCTTCCTAAGGGATACAGAAAATACCGGTTGCCAGCAAGAGCCTTTCAAGTGATGTAAGCAAATGGAATAATGTCCGAGATGTGCTGTAGCCAGGTCAGTGACTGAAGAGAACAAGGCAGAGGAGAGTTGTCCCCAAGAGCAAAGCCAGCATGGGAAGGAAGCCAGGGATTTGGCGTGCACACCACTAATCAATGCCACTGGCACACTTGGCTGTTGTTTCACAACAGCAGCACTACTTACAACAGGTAGCACAGAGCACTATACCCAGAGTAACTCGCACGGACAAGGCTCCTCTTTGACATGTCTAGTGTCATGCCCATGGTACAACGACAGGGAAAGAAGCAGGAAGTGTCCAGTACGCAACAGTTTCTAAACAAGCAGACAAAGCCCAAATGATTCTTGAAGCAGGACCCCATTCCTGCAGGTTTACGTAAATAAATTATAACCAAGTTAGTACCTATGTTCTCACTGTGGTTATCTGCTGAGGAAATATCAAGATCTAGCAGCAAAGAGTGGTGACAGAAAGGCATGGTGTAATTCAACACAACAGATTAGCCATCTTGTCACTTCATTACACAAACCCCTCCTCCTACCTTTTAATCTGAGAGAGCTTGTTCTCTTCTGCTCTGATATATTCCTTTAAAGACTGTACCAAGTCTTTCTCCGCATAAATCAGGTCTGTCATTTGACCTAAAAATCAGAGTACGAGCAAATGTTAATCAGACCTAAAAAGATAACAATTTCCAACAGCACAGAAGATAGACCTTAGATGCTCCAAGCCTATTAACACCACCACAAAAACCAGACAAATTAAAGCTGGGCACTTAAATGCCTGTAAACCACAAAAGCTATTATACATACAGGTTCGGCATTAAAAAGCTTCAAGGGGCTTTTAAAATCTCGGCTTCAATGGCACACATTGCTTTGCTGTGACCCTTCCACTGCCTCTGAATTACTTTTAGTATTACAATTGTATGCAGGACAATCAAAAGAAAGCTTTGAAATTAATATAGCCACTGACTCAAAGCATAGAAAAATCCAAATAGTTGGCAAAGCGTCTGTTTTACATATGGCTACAGACTAGGTCACACTAATAAATTAACCTAACCATTGGCATCACTTAAAATTACAGCTTTTTAATATGGGTAACCATGGAAATACAACCTAACATTACGTACAGAGGAATTTCAGACTAACATTTATAGACTGACACACACACATTCTCTCCTGATTAGCATTAGTGGAAATTGCCAGCACATCAATCCTAATTGGCATGACAAACTTTGCTTTGCAAAGACCAAACACTGAAAGACCGGATGAGATTTATAAATTCAGCCACAGCTTTAATTTCAACATTCCAAAGTAATTATTAATGAAGCATGATTAAGCAGATGGAAGTCAGCATGCTGTGCTATTTTTAGAGTTAGAAAATGTTCAGAAACAGGTAAAAGAAAAGGGTGATCCCTCACAGTAACTTTGTACAAAACGCTACGTATCTTAGGAAAAAAGAGAACCAAATAACACACATCTAGTTTGCTCTTTAGCCAACTCCAGAGCACAGGAGCATGCGCTCGAGGTTGGCAGTGTAACACCATTCTGCCTTGGTCTGGCTGAGCAGTTCCACAGTGGTGCAAAATAAAACACCAGGAGTTTAGAGTTTTACCATTCCAAAAAAATAGCTCTACTGAGCTCACAGCATGTCCTGGAGAACAGCCAGTTGTGGTTAATCAATCTCCATTATCCCTACAGGGGTAAATTTCCCACACTATTCCACAGGAAAACATGAGACCAAGTCACAGCAGAAAACTCAGTTTGTGCTTATTTGTAGGCTCTACCACAATCACATATGCTTGTAACACAGCTATTAGAACAAAGTAACTACATTGTCAAAAATTAATCTATTTCCAGGATTTATAACAATATGAACTCTTCAGGATTTACTCAGGTCTTACGAAACATACATAACGTAAAGGGGATATTATTTTTTTCTTCTGATACCTAATTCGAGCTTTTTGAGAAGACAGGAGATCTCAGGTTCTGTGAAATATAATATTTCACATATTTATCACTTAAATTCTCTTTACAAGTCATAAATTCAGGATTAAGCTTTTTAGCACAAAGCTTGTGCTGTGTTTAAGACTACTACAGGTACACAACTCTTAATAAAACACAGGCGCTGTCTTATTTTACTGACAGAGCCCTCAGAGAAACTTGTGTCATGTCAGTCACAAGGTGCTAAGTTACCCAACTACAAACAAATTGCACTGATCCTAGACTTGTGATGCAGAATAGCATCAAGGATGCAGAAGAGTAGCTTTTCCTAATGCAGACAGTGTTTGATAAGTCTTTGTGAAGAAAGCTATATGCTTCAAATGTAAACTTCAACTTTCTGGGCAATCACATTAACTACACCACAACATCATGCATTGGTTCTTTCCATACCTATAGAGGTGAAGAACTCTGCTTCTGTGTGCCAGATCAAGAAAATACAGGTAAAGAACACCAACTGCAGCCAGGGCTTCATCTTCCAGATAGCTCAAACCTGTCACAAACTAAAAGGAAGAGTTAAAATGATTAATTTATTTGTGAGAAAAAAAAACCCCAAGGCGTTAATCTTCATCTTCAGTTATTTCACCCTCATGAGAATTATTTAGGTCTTTGAAATACTGAACTGTAATTGGTAAAGCTTGAATAAAAGTTTTCTTCAACCACAGAAGCTGTTACTTAACAGTCTCAAATGCCATCTGGTATATTCTTTGGGATTTACATGGAAGACTGCAGTCCATGGAAGGCCCACACGACAGAAGTAATAGAAGCCACGTATTTCTCCATTGAGACAGTGAAAACAATATCTTCTGCAAGGGCATTTCAATGCCTTCCATATCAAGCATAATTATAGCCGGAAAATAGGACAGTATACAAAGTTGTGTTATATTCCAATAATAATAAGTCAAAATTAAATGGTCAGACTTGTAGCATGCTGTGAAACTGTTATATAAATACTGTCTAGAAATACAAATAGTGAGAAAGCCAAATAGAGAAATATAGCTTTCTGTAGTGTGGAAGTGGCAGCGATGGTTGGAAAAGCTGAAAGTGAAATTTCCATCTCTGCTTATTCAAGATGCAACATCCCAGCATGCTGGCCTCTGGGCACAGCCCTCATGACTTCTGTATTTCAAAGGCTGTGCCAGCTTCGAAACGCAGCCTCTTGAGACAGAGGATGAAAGCAGACTGTTATGTTTCTAAGAGCACAGCCCACCAAGGGCACAGAAGGGAAAGCCAAGAGCAGACAGGCAGACAAGGTAGCAGCCAAGTGAAGTAAGGGATGCAAGGCTCCAAAGAGCCTCCTGAGAGCTGTAATTCTCCCAGCAGATCTGATGGCCAGGACTGCTGCTTCCAGAGAATTTACAGGGAGCCGGCACTGCACTTTGACAGCCCACAGCTCATTCCAGAGCTGCCCGCTCCCTGAGTAGGAACAGCCACCCCAACCAGCCCTCACGTACAAGCTCTGCTGCTCAGCAAGCACTGAGTTCTCACACCACCCATGCACACAGCATCAAAAGGAAGATGGTAACAGTTCACCTTAATCCAAAAAGCACTTATTGTTTTTTCCTACCCATTGTGATTGGGTAAACTGGTAGCTGGAAATGACTACTTGCAACCTGCTCTTACTTCTATTTCAGGTAAAACAGAATCACTTAAATCTTAAAAGAAAGGGAGATGGAGGGGAGAAGGGAAAGATACATGAAACATCCTAAAATTTCAAGCAATAATTCTGGGACGACTCTGGCTTATTGTTCCCCTGGGCTCCCCCTTCACAACAGGGGACAGGAGGTGGTGGTGAGTATTGCCCTTTCCTTCGGGGTTTTTCAAGCCCACAGCATCATAGAAGCCCTAACCCTCAGCTGAGCTCTCCAGTGCCACGGACATTGATAACAAACACACTGTCAATGATACTACCATGACATGAACATTAGAAACAGCTGTTCTCTGCTATCTCTTATCACACGGCAAGATTATTGTTTTTAAGTTATTCTTTTGCTTTAAAAGACTACATAAGGAACCAGAAACATTTACCACAACAGTTTGCAAGCATGAGTAAGCAGAAAAATGTCTCACAGCATCATAAGAAGTCTTCTCTTTTCCCTCTTCTGTTTCTCACCTCCCTGCAAACCACATATTCCCAAACTGCTTGTTTAAGTTAGTTCAGAACTAGCACATGGGTAATCTGAGAATTGAGTGAAGCTGAATAAATAGTACCATGCAGAGGTCTGCCAATACTAAAAGCCACAATAAGCGACATAGCAGAAAGTCAAGAGCACTTGGGAAGTACATTAATTTGGATATATTAAGCTACAACTGTCCATCTGCATAGTCTGTTGTCGTTTCATTGAGCGGTTTTTTTGGATGCACTACACAAAGCCTGGCAAAACAATTACAAGTGAATTTTCCAGCTAAAACAACACAACTCTACATTCTCCACCCTGCACCTCCCTATCCTCCCCATGTTCTCTCATGGCTGAGGATATCTGCCAAGAAGAACACTTACTACAGCTAGCAGCTTGCCTTTATAGCAGATCTTTAACAGCTTTGCCATCCTACTCAGATTTACTTGAATCAATAAACAAAAACTTCAATAAACAGAGAAATCAGCTCTTGCTTGAACAAGCAGACCTGGCTGCAGGGTTTTCAAATTGTTTGTACACATTCTTTTCACAGCTGTTACTCAGAAAACCAGCACAAATAATGAATTACAGGAGGCTGAACATAATGTTGTAACCAGTCTTGGACAGCACAAGCATGTGTGCATACACACACGTATGCATGCCCACCCCACCACAGCTCAACCATCTGCTAACAAAGAGGGTAAGAGGCAGAAGGGACATTAGCATCTCCTACCTCAACAATTAAATTAAGGCAAATGTTTATGAGTTTTATTCAGAAAATGGAAGAACTTAGTTGTATAGAAATGCCATGTAAGAAGTCTGTATAGGACAAATACTGCCTATCTTCCTGGATTTTTTTCAGCAGTATCTTCAAATGACAAAGACATCATGCTGGATGGTGAATTTAGGATCTCCTTTTCTTTGAGAATAATGACATTCCAGTGCATCCTACTGAGGAGGCTTGAGCAGAGCCACTGGGCTCAGTTCAGCCTTAGGCTACAAGAACCCTCCTATGCAGGAACCGAGCGAGCAGCACACGCTGCCCTGAGCAAAGGCTCTAAGACAGCCAGGACAATAAGCATAGAGCCTTGGCTCATCAGGATACCTCCTGTGCCATCAGCACAGGGATCTCAAGTCCATGTGTTCCTCACAGATGAGCACGTTCCCAACTGCCTTACCCGAGGGACTGTTCGCACCATAGCAAGAAGCTGTTCTAGCAACACTGATAGAGCTAAACTTCTCTGTATACAGTAATGGATTCTTAACACGTTGCTCCTTTCCTTCCCTTAAATACGCCCAGCCAGCCAACCAAATGGATACTGTACAAACATTTCTTCAGGAGTATAAGACCTCAGTGAATCATAGCTCCCACTGGAAAAAGTGCTGTCAGACTTTGGAGAGCACTAGCAGAAGGAAAAAAGGTTCTTCTAGACAAAATAGACCACGATAGAATTTTTCTCTACGAATTAGAGTGAATTCTTTATTAAACAAGCTTTCTGAAGAGCCATGAACCCATCTCTCTCCCTTCACCCACTCAGTTGTACAACAGTGTATAAGAGGCCTTGATTTGCCTTCTGCAGTTGTTTTTTTCCTCAACATAACAGTAGCAGCACACAGGATAGGTAATTAGAGATGCGAGTTGCCTAATCTCGCGGCTGACCATTCACTCCTGATGTCAGTTTTCATTCCCAGATAAGGGTGTGCTCAGAAGAACAAAACAAGCCAGAAGAAACCCTTCAATTACCTGACAGCCCAACTAAAAGCAGGGATTAACAAAAGCAAGTCCTTCATCCAGGCCCCAGATTTGTACAGACCTCTTACGCAGAAGTATTAAACTAAGAGGAACCAACATAAAACCAGTCCATCTAATTTAAAGATTAAAAGTCACACCCCTTATCCTTGCTTATTATGGCAAATCAGACCAGAATGTGACTCTTGCTATATTGTGAACTCTCACTTTGATCACATGAACTGCAGAAAAAAAATGCAGAATCCTTCCACTCCATCTCTTGGACATGATGGCACTCCCTTTGCTATCAGGCTTCTGCAGGGCAGGTATGGAACTGGGGTGTGATTTAGCTGCTCCAAACTGCTACTGGTAAGGTCACCTCTTTCCAAGGACTAAGCAGGGGAAAAAAGTTACACAGAGTTAATATCAGCCCCTGCAAATGCATTTCTTCCTAAGCCTGTATTTTGGTCTCCCACCCATAAAACTCAGATGACATTACCTCATAGCCACTTCGAGGTAGTTCCCATTCTAGACTGCGATGCAGCTGGGTAACAGCTAAAACAGCTATAACAGCTTAAAAATTAAGAGAGAGCACTAAGCGTGCAATACTTCATTAATACATACAAAATTAGTCTAAAAGCTGCATAGCATCACTGGTCAGCAGACTGCCAACTCACTGCTTCAGAACATTATCAGCACTGAGCACAGGTCACAGTGGAAATCTCTGCTTCGGCAACATTCTCTGGGGCGTGTTTCTTTCATGGCAAATTTTAATTACTCCTAACAGATCTAATTTTGTGTTTCTTCCAGGTTTTTCATTTGTTTGCTTTCAGACCAAACAGCAATGGTTTCTTCCCAGCAATTGGGACAGATTATTATTCCCTTGTTTGGTTCCATTCTTACAGGCAAATACCCACACTTTACTACAGGGGAATAGTTTGTGACACAAAATATCAAGACTAGATACTGTGAAAATCTGAATAATATACCATTTCTCTGAATCATCACAATGCAACAACTTAAAAGATGATGACACAAGTAACAGTTACAGCCTTCCTGCCTCCTCTTCTGCACTTGCCTATGCTATTAACAACATCTGGAAAATCACTGCTAAAAAAGCTATTTCTACATTGTATCTAAATTTAAAGTACCATGGTTAAATCTAATAAGCAAATCACTACTTCAAAGTCCCCTCAGACCACAGATGGTTTCTTGACACGCACATGGTTGAGGCCCACATGCCAGGCTCTGAAGAACGGTCCATCCTCAAACAGCAATTTGGGATTGGACTCTTGGATGAGACAGGTTTGTGTGGGGTTTCTCCAAACCCTAGTGTCTTCCACCCACTGTCTTATTGCTTGCAGACACAGCAAGAAGTACTGAACCAGCTACACAGCTGGCTTCATCCCCTTTCCCCTCCACAAACAATGGAGCTTCAAAAGTAGGCAACAACTTGCTATCAGTAGTAATGGCTGTAGATAAGGCTAATTATATTTACAGGTAACATAGTGCAAACAAAAAACTGAAAGATGGTTACATACGTAGCTAGAGCCAAAAAAATGGCCTGAATTGTAAACAGATTTTCAGGCCACTGCAAGGAAGAGCCTCTCTCAATACCTCCATAAGAAAAGCAGCCATAAAAAACATCCAG